CATAAATAGAAGTTTTATAATCTATTATCATAATATATATATCAATGCTTCATCATGTCAGAAATAGATATTTATTTCCGCTGTAATTCTAATCACATGTTTATATTTCCACTGTTAAATTAAATTGTTCATAAATCTGATAACATGATCATATTCCACTATTATTAATAATAAATATTATACTCGGATGTTGTATTAAAAGTGATGTAAGAAATAGTTAAAATGTTGTAGGCTTTATTCTCTCATTTGTGATCCTGATGGGAAAATGTGGACTTTCGAGTTCTCCCCTGGGGTGTGTCCGATGGGACCGTGTAATTTGGTGTCCTCCCTTGGGTACTTAGTGTATAATGGAAGACGAGGACTCCTAGGAGGCATTAGATTAGGCGGTTCTGCCACACTGAGCAGCACTGCTTCTCACAGAGACACACGAGTTCACGGTTCAAAATTTGCCCAAAGAAAAGTAGGTCGAGCGAATTACTGATGTTCCTGGGATAGTGTAGAGCCTATTCCACCACCTAGATGTTAGCGGAAGTGCACGAGCAAGTAGATCAGCACCAAACCGAGAATCACCACAAACACAAATATAGCAATGCAAATAACAAGAACACAAGTGAGACACCAATTTATCCCGTGGTTCAGCTCGTCACTAAGGCTGGCCTATGTCCACGTTGTTGAGGAAGCCACTAAGGCTTTGGTCTCTTTCATCCTTGTCCTCATTTTCAAGTCAAGAGAATGAACTCTTGAGATGAGGGGTGATTTTACTAGATGATTAGGGTGATTACAAACCTCCCGAGGCTGCCACACAAGTTGGCAAGCTCCACGAGCGACGCTCTAGCCAGCTAGGAGCAAGCTCCAAGAATAACAAACACAATCCACCAGCTTGAACGTGAACCATGCTCTAGGAGATGGAGATCAGTTGGGGCTGCTCTCTAATGCAGTTTGGAGGCTCAAACTCTCATGGATTTGCAAGGGAATCAAAGGGAGAAGCTTGAGGGGCTCCAATGGTGAGTGAGGGGGAGAGAGCTGCTCTGGTCGCACTTGGGAAGGAAATGGTCGAGATGACCGTTGGGGTGGAGCAGGGGAGTGTTAAAATACCCCCAGTACTCAACGGTCAATTTAAGTCGCGGCAGTGCTTCTTGCTCATGCGGCACTGCTGCTCGACTGAGCAGCACTTGCTGCTCGGCCACAGACAACCAAGAAGATGGAGTGAAAGGCTTCCTGTCTTGGCTAGGAATTGAGGGTATCTTGGTGGGTATTTGAGCACATGGTTACACATTAAAGCTTGCGCATTGTATCTCCTTTGTAGTACGGCTTTTTCTAAACTCAAATTCAAAGTATAAAATAATTAAGCACCTTTGAGTTGGTCACCGTGTTGTAATTGGGGGCTCCACCATCGAATGTATTGTCCTCATTCTCAATATCACTTCATAATACCATGACTCTTGATAGTTTCCTTCTTCATGCTTCCAACTTGATCAATATGAGTTAACTATCAATTTCTTCTTGCTCATGCAAAGCAAGCTATTATTGAGATCAATCCAAAGTCATCAACTCATATCTCCTTTACCATTTGACAAATATGCTTGCTTTCTCATGATACTATAATGTCCCACAACATAGAAGCTATTTTGTCAACTCCATTTGCATTTCTGTCTATTTCTTGAACTAGATTTTTTCCATGATCTTTCAACACAACAATACACAACTTTGGCCTTCGTTTGAACACTATGTAGAATACCATCGAGTTTGCTTTCTTGTTGAAACTTCGATACACTTAGCAAACTCGTTAAACCTTCAATTGTGTTATCATTCAATTCACCAAAACCCACTAAAGGACTAGATGCACTTACAGTTGGCAGTTTTTTCCCCTAATTTTATTGAGGTTTAATTTTTTAGCCCTCAAAGCTATTGGTTTTAATTTGTGGTAGTCAATATGATGATAGTGCAGCATATATATGTGCTCACCTTTTTCTTTCCCTAGCGTTCATCTATATATGACAATATATTTTTGCAAAGCCCCACCAAATTCCCCTACACGATGGAGCAGAATGGAGGAATTGTGGGACCGGCCTTTCTGTTGCATGCGAAGAAGCAACTGGTATGCCAATTCTGGTTATCGTATTTTTCATGCTGTACTTAGTGCTTCTCTGGATTAAACTGAAACATATAAATTGCTAATACGTCAAACTTAAACATAAATGGATCTGGTGTGGTGGTCGGTTACCACCCAGCTTGCTGGGAATTTTTGCTGTTTGTACAGAAACGGATAGTGTGTTCTCTGTATGCTTGGAATTTTGTTTGTAGTATGCATGTATGTGATGTATGCATGATAAGAAAACGAAAACAATCGGTTTGCAGATGGTCGCGCATGTGATTGTCTGGTCAATTGGCCAACGTGTGATCATCGACAGCTTTGGTATTGAAACCTGCTAGTAGCTAGGGACATGCACATGCGATGCGTGCCAAGATGAACTAGGTCGATCGTGTCTACACACGCGATTGCGTGCTATAGCATCTCCCTTGGTACGCTTTTGTGGCGGTGAAGCTTGCGACCTGACCAGTTCGTTGCTCGTGCGGCCCGCCTACATACAAACTTCACCGCTACCGCACGAGATTGACAGCACAACCAGAGAATGTGTCAACGCAGATTCGGAACTGTTTGGAAGACTTGTTTTATTCAATTCCTCATGTTCCTGCATGCATTGTACTCGTATATACCGGCCAGTAATGAAATATATAATGCATAGCTGGCCTGTAATTCGTTTCAAAAAGAAAACAAATTAAAAGAAATGCAGCTGGAAGCACGAATGCAAATTATATAGACGCATTGTTGTTGCCTGCCTCACACACTCCAACGACCTACTAGAAAGTTAGCAGAGGGCTCAAGCACGGAGAAGCTAGCTAGCTGCTTCCAATGCATGCATGGTGGGTAACGCCTGGCAGCGCCTGCCGTTGCAAAATCAACAAACATTGCGCCGTCTTAATCAAGCTCAAATCCTTTCTTTCTTTCTTTTTTCCCCTTCATTCATGAGTATATATAGTCCGGCCCCACCAGCCACCAATTCCTTAAATATTTTAAGTATTTGTTATTACATCGATCGTGTCTTGGAATATAGCACCCTGATGAAATCAAATGTTTTCGTGTATATGTTATGCCAAATAAAAATGTCATAGGATGTGCAACGCGTGTCCTTACTATCTGACTCGGCCTTCATCCAGATTAAGCTGATGATTTGCAAATTAAATCAATTCTAACTCAGGGTATCACCAACTGATAACTAAGCTCACACATAATCTCGCTCACTCGATCAGCAACTTAGGGTTTTAACCGGCAGACTTCAATACTTAGCTAACAGCTTTGGCGGTGAGGTGGCTTCTCCTACAAAACGTTTGGTAGGATTCCTCCGGACGAGCCAGAGCTGGAGCTAGGGAGAAGCCCTACCAAATAAGCCCTAAGTAGGAGTAACATTAATGATATATTTTTTCTAGATTTGCCACTATTTGCTACGTTTCTTCTTTAACATTACTCGGTCATGGTCTGTGACGTCGTCCCCGCTCCATCCACCTGCTTCGTGTTCGATGGCTCTCGATCGTTAAACCTATCGCCGCCACCCACCATTACCTTGACCCGACCACACCAGGCTATTACATTGACACTCTTATCCTTGCCCTGTCTAACAACCTTCCTCCACTTCTCAAACGATGGTGCCACTGCCACCTTGCCCTCGCTGCCCCATGTCCACCACCACCGTTGGTTTGGCCTCTACCCCTAGATTCATCAGATTTTCTTCTAAGCCCACCCAAGACCTTGAATCTGGTTTGAACCCTACCCAAATGAGCGAAAAAAGGTTTATAGACCTAGGTGAGAAGTGTTGGAAAAGTTTAAGGACTCACAACGCAATTCACTCTTACTTATTTATAAGTGCCACTTATTGATTTCTCTAGATGTCTATATGATGTTTCTACAGAGTCATTGATGTCAGATGACATCAGTACTTGTATAGTGGATCCTCTCCTAGTAGCAAAGGTAGAGGGAAGACAACATACCCTTCGTCTCAGATTGAATACAATTATAGCATAATGTCATGTTTAAGTATTTTAATTAATTTCGACCAAATATAAATTAAAATTTATCAGTATTTATGATATCAAATTAATATTATTAGATTAATAATTACGAAATATATTTTCATAATAAACTTATTTGGAGCAATAAATGTAAATATCATTAACTAGAAACTTGATCAAACATGAACCATTTTGGTCCCGTTCGTTTTGCTGAAAAAACAAGCCAAAACACTGTTCCAGTTGATTTGTTGTGAGAAAAACACTGTTCCGGCTGAAAAAACAAGCTGAAAAGTATGGATTATAAGAGAAGCGAGCAGGGCCAACTGGCACACAACTCGTAGTTGTATTTTTTTTATTTAACTTGGGCACGATGAATCATGATCCAACGCTTCAAAAATCAGGTGTCCTTTTGGCTCTAAAACACTCCACGTCAGAGTGGACAAGTTCAAATAGTTTAATATCGTGACATATGTCGGACTGAAAAGGTCCTAGGATGCATGCATGCTTCTCTGACCGACTCCGCCTTCATCCTCTGTCAAAACTCCAAACACAACACAACTCCTGCATCACATCAAAAGAAAATAACACTATCATGGCACCTGGTCTCAAGAAATATTAGTATTTCATTTTACACTATACGAGAGCAGTGAAGAGCGTGAGATGGCAGTTTCCTCCCTCGCTCGATCCTGTCCCTTTCCTTCGTCTCCCGCCCTCCATCATTTGATCATTTCTTCTTCGTCGTCGCCGTCTCACAAGCTGCTCGATCTCATCACATTCCTCCGTCCTCCCCCTCGCCTGTCTCCATCAACGCGGCTCCGTCGCCGTCACGCGCACGTACATAATGAACATAAAAGCTGGCAAGCATTCACTCCCACGCTAAAGCTGCTCCGCCACCGCGCTCGCCTGCCTCGGCTCAGTCAGCGCCATCCGCCATGGCCGACCGCGTCCACTCCATGCCATCTCCCTCCTCCTCCCCGCTTCCACCTCCGCCAGGGCGACGGCGACCCGACCACCACCATCACCAACAATCCGACGCCGACCCCGACCCCGCGGCAGCGCCGGCCACGGATGAGACGACGCCGTTGCACCCGTCCTTCTTCCACGACCGCCCGCTCGCGCTCTCGCCGCCGCCAGGCACGTACATCATCCAGGTGCCGAAAGACCAGGTCCTCCGCTCGCCGCCCCCGGACCGCGCGCGCCGCTACAAGAAGCTAGCCGGCCGCCCCGCGCGGCGCCGCCGCCTCCGCCGTGCGTGCTGCCTCTCCTGCGCCGCGCTCCTCGCCATCCTCGCCGCCGCAGCCGCCTTCGCAGGCGCCGTCTTCCTCATCTTCCGCCCGCGCGCGCCGTCCTTCTCCGTACCCTCCTCGCTCTCCATCCGCGGCCTCGACGCCACCGCCCTCGCCTCGCCGCCCACCGCCGGCCTCTCCCCCGCGCTCGACGCCGCCGTGCGTGCCGACAACGGCCGCAACGGGAAGGTGGGCGTGGAGTACCGCGCCGGCGGCAACGTCGCGGTGTCCTACGCCGGGCAGCGGCTCGCGGCAGGCCCGTGGCCCGCGTTCCGTCAGGCGCCGCGGAACGTCACGGTGGTCGCGGCGGCCATGAGGGGCCAGGGCGTGCGCCTCACGGACGCGCAGAGGAGGCAGCTCGCCGCCAACCGGGCCGCCCGCGCCGTGCCGCTCACGGTGGAGGCGAGGGTGCCCGTGCACCTGCGCTTTGGGAAGGTGCTCCGGACGTGGACCATCGACGTCAAGGTCCGGTGCGAGGTGGCCGTCGACAGGCTGGACGGGAACGCCGCGGTGGTGAACAGGGGGTGCAGGGTCAGGGTCAAGCCGCTCTGGTGGTGGTGGTGATCGCCGCCTCCACCGGCGATCCTGTTCATACACGTTTGACGTTGTTAATAATGCCGCCTAAACCTAAACGGCTAGTAATTATTAATTACAGTACTGCTGAGTATAGTATTTATATTTATTTACCTGTGAAGTAAATTGATTTCTTAAGAAGGAAACTTTTTTGGGGGAGCGTGCTGACTGCTCCATCTGTTGCATATGTAAAATGGTGAAATTATATTATATAGATAACTTTAAGCTACTGTGCTGAGAAAAGTAAATATTTTTGGATCATTATATAAGTCTACACAAATATTATACATACTCAAGAAATCTATACCTCAAAAGGTGAACGCCCCAAGGACGAATGACAGCTCGTATTGTACCAAAATTCGGCCATTGAAATCCATTTGAGCCACTTCCGAGGACAGGAATGCACAAAGCAGCGCAGATAAGTCTCCAGACACTAGTTGACCCTTTCAGTCTGCCCGTCGGACTGCGGGTGGTATGCGGAGCGGAGCCGGAGCTCATACAGAGAGTAGTGTTGGCAAGCTTGAATAGCTCCTTCCAGAAGGTGCTTGTAAAGACCGGATCTCGGTCTGAGATGATATGTGTTGGCATGCCATGTAAACGGAAGATATTGTCGAGGAATGCTTGGGCAACCCTTGGTGCTGAGTATGGATGCGGGAGGGGAACAAAGTGGGCGAACTTACTAAACTTGTCCACGACGACCATGATACAATCAGCATTGCCCGAGCGGGGAAGACCATCAATGAAGTCCATTGATATCACTTGCCAAGCTTCAGTAGGTACCGGCAGTGGAGACAGAAGTCCTGGGTAACGAACTCGATCGGGCTTCGCCTGGGTACAGATTGAACAGGAGGAAACGAAGTGCTTGATGTCATTTTTCATTCCCCGCCAAGCAAATAGCTTCTTGATCCGACTGTGAGATACAGGGAACCCAGAGTGGCCTCCTACGGCGCTGTTTTGCAGAGCAGTGATAATTCGGTGCTGCATTGGCTTGTTGTCGCCTATCCAGACTCGACCTTTGTACCTGAGGATGCCGCTGTTCAAAGTATAAGGTGGCCTGGACTGGGAGGAAGCAGCCAGTTCCTGCACTAGGCGGGAGGAGAATGGATCATTGTCATAACCAGCAGACACCTCTGTCAGCCAAGACGGAGAGGAATAAGAAATAGCCGCCAATTGAGTTGGGGGAGATGGGTGTCGTGACAATGCATCCGCAGCAAGGTTAGAGGCACCTGGTTTGTAGACAATGCGGTATTGAAGACCCGCGAGCTTTGTGTACATCTTAAGTTGCCAGGGAGTATGAAGCCTCTGATCTGTTATATGCATCAAGCTTCGCTGGTCAGTGAAGATTGTAAATTCAGCATGTTGCAGATATGATCTCCACTGTTCGACTGCCATAAGGATTGCCAGGTATTGTTTTTCATAGGTGGACAAGCCGCGAGTGCGGGGACCCAGTGCCTTGCTGACAAAGGCTAAAGGATGTCCATCCTGAAGTAAGACTGCCCCAACTCCTGCAACGCTTGCATCAGTTTGAAGCTGAAACGGCTTGGCAAAGTTTAGCAATGACAGCACTGGGGCTGTAACCAGAGCATTCTTCAAGGCAGCAAATGCATCTGAATGTACTGATGTCCAGATGAAGAGAGTCCTGTCAAGGGCGTCGGGCTCTAGGGTAGTCGGCCCTCGACTACGGAGTTCGTAGTCTCGTTCCGTCGTCTAGGGTGAGGTTTTCCTCCTCAGCAGTCCTAGGCTTGTTTGAGAAGAGATGGAAGATTAGATGATAATATATTGCTTATCCCATAAGGGTTCTCCATACAATAATATATAGCCTGTGGCTTTTTAATAAAAGGAAACAAACTCTTCTAATAAAAGGAAACCAACTCTCCTAAATAAAAGGAAACAAATCAAACTGGAATTCCTGCCGCCTCCGCGCGCTCTGTGTCACGGCGCACGTCGCGAGCGCGCCTCCTCCTCTCGTACGGACGGCCCCACATGACATCTCTCCCCCCCTCGACTACCAGCGCGTCCTCGAGCTGGAATGCTAGGAACTTGTCGCGAAAGGAGTGAAGATCCTCCCATGTCGCCGATGCCGCGGGCTGGCCCTTCCAGCGGATGAGGACCTGGCGAACGCCCTTGCCTTTGGGCGCCTCTGGCAGTGACGCAACTGGACGATGGCGAAGGCGGAGCAGGACCCAATCGCCCACGGCGTAGGAGACATGGCGATGCTACCGGTCGTAGTGGAGCTTCTGCACAGCTTGGGCTTGCTCCAACCTGTACCGGACGTCTGCTAGAAACTCGTCGCGCTCGGCCATCGTCTAGGCCACAGCAGCCACACGCGTGTCCCCCGGCTCATAAGACCGGATGGTAGGAGGGTCGTGGTCGTAGACCACCCGGAACGGCGTGTCGCGCAGGGACGTCCGATAAGCTGTGTTGTAGGTGTACTCAGCCCACGAAAGCCAGCGAAGCCACTAGCGAGGACGGTCACCGGTGAAGCAGTGAAGGTACATGGGGATGACGCGGTTTGCCGCCTCCGTTTGGCCATCCGACTGCGGATGAAACGCCGACGTCATATGCAGCTTGGTACCCATGAGCCGCATCAGCTCCTTCCAAAACACGGAGTTGAACACCGGGTCGCGGTCAGACACCATGGACTGCGGCATTCCATGAAGGCGTACGATGTCGGTGAAGAACGCCTGAGCCACAGATTCTGCCGAATAAGGATGGGCTAGGGGGATGAAATGGCAATACTTGGTGAAGCGATCCACCACCGTTAAGATGATGGACTTCCCCCGTACGCGTGGCAACGCCTCCACGAAGTCTAGACCGATGTCCACCCAGACCGCCGTTGGAACCGGCAGGGGCAGCAGCAACCCTGCGGGGTGAAGATGTTCCGACTTGTACCTCTAACACGTGGCGCAGGTACGCACGAAGTCTTGGACGAGACGGCGCATGTCGGGGAAGTGGACGTCCCGGCGAAGGCGATGCAAAGTGCGCTGCACCCCTTCGTGACCGTCGTCGTGCACCGCGACCAGGAACTCGGCCATGAGCGGCGATGCCGGTGGCACGTACAGCAGGCCATCATATGTCACCAGGTCGTCGGTGAGAGCCCACGGCGCGCCGTGCGAACCCGCAGTAAGCTCATCCCGGAGTGCGCGCAAGGCAGGGTCAGTCGCCTAAGCTTGACGCAGGCGGTTGATGAAGTCGAAACGTGGAGTGGAGACGGCCATAACAGCGCCGTCCTCTGTGTCGCGGTGGGAGAGAGCGTCTGCCACCGTGTTTAGCGCGCCGGGCTTGTATTCCACCGTGAAGTCAAACCCGAGCAGCTTCCCAACCCAGTGGTGTTGCGGAATCATGGCGAGGCGCTGGTCGAGTAGGAACTTCAAGCTGTAGTGGTCCATGCGCACGGTGAAGCGACGTCCCCATAGGTACGGCCGCCAGTGTCGAATGGCGTGGACGAGACCAATGAGTTCCCGCTCATAAGCAGCGAGAGAACGATGACGAGGTGCCACCGGTCGGCTGAAGTATGCGATGGGATGCTTGTCCTGGATCAGCACCGCCCGAAAGCCGTGAGTGGATGCGTCTCACTCGACGATGAACAGCCGTGTGAAGTCTGGGAGCGCCAAGACTGGCGCCGAGGTGACCGCAGCTTTGAGGGCCTGGAAAGCCGCAGCGGCGGTGTCGTTCCAGGTGAAACCGTCCTTCTTGAGCAGTGCCGTAAGTGGAGCCGTGATGGCGCCGTAGTCGTGGATGAACTTGCGGTAATAACCTGCAAGGCCCAAGAACCCCCGCACTGCACGAGCTGAATGGGGTTGGGGCCAGGCGGAGACTACCAGCACCTTGTCGGGATCCATGGCGACGCCGGCATCGGAGATGACATGGCCTAGGTAGGCAATGGAGCGCTCGCCAAAAGCGCATTTGGAGCGCTTGACGAAGGGCCGGTGCTGCTGCAGCATGGCGAAGACGACCCGTAGGTGGCGCAGGTGATCGGCCCAGGAAACACTGTAGATCAAAATGTCATAAAAAATACCAAGACGAAGCGACGTAGGAAGGGCCTTAGCACGTCGTTCATCAAGGCCTGGAATGTTGCTGGGGCGTTGCACAGCCCGAACGACATAACCAGGAACTCGTCCAGGCCGTCGTGGGTGCGGAACGCCGTCTTGGCGATGTCATCGGCGCGCATGCGGACCTGGTGATAGCATGAGCGAAGATCGAGCTTGGTGAAGAACTTGGCGCCATGGAGCTCGTCAAGGAGCTCGTCGACGATGGGGATGGGGAAAGCGTCTTTAACGGTGATGGCGTTCAGGGCGCGGTAGTCGACGCAGAACCGCCATGATCCGTCAGCTTTCTTGACGAGGAGGACAGGCGAGGAGAATGCTGAAGAGCTCCAACGAATGAGCCCCTGGTCCAGCATGACGGCGCACTGGCGTTCCAGCTCGTCCTTGTGTGTCGCCGGGTAGCGGTAGGGGCGCACCGTGACCGGCTGTGAACCCGGGACAAGAGTGATGCCATGGTCTCGGGATCAGAGCGGCGGTAGGCTGCGAGGCTCTGCGAAGACGTCGTCGAAGGACACGAGCAGCTCGTCTAGCAGGGTCGGTGAGGCCATGGTGGTGCGAACGGCGGGCGCCACGGCCCCAGGGACCCCTTGCCAGCAGACGGACTGGCCCTGCCGCTGGAACGTCATGGACCGGTCGCCGAAATCCCACAGGATAGGCCCGAGCGTCGCTAACCACTGGGTGCCCAACACCACGTCGTAACCTGCAAGTGGCATAACAAAAAGATCGACGTGGAAGAGATCGCCGTGGATGGTGATCGCAGCCTGGCGGATGACGCCCACGTAAGACACCCGTTCGCCGTTTGCCACTGTAGCCGTGAGGCGAGGCCGATGTTGGAGAAGTAGGCCGGTGCGCTGCGCTGCAGACTCGGAGATGAAATTGTGAGTAGATCCTGAGTCCAGAAGCGCGATGAGGGGGTTGCCGCCAATGACAACGTCGAGCTGCATG